GCGTCAAGTTCTAAGTAATGTCCTGAGCTGCTTTAAGGGGAGTCTTGTTTTATTGCGCCCGAGAATTTCGAGCCTAGCTTTCGATAAAAGTCAGTGGAAGCGGAGTTCAACGTTTTCCCTCTTTTTCGTTTATCTTTAATCAGCTGTACATGCAAAATAACTTTCAAATGTTATTGAAATAAACTGGGATATCTTTAAAACTCATTAACCTCAGTTGTTTCGCGAAATTCGTGAATAATATTAAATTAAGACATTTACTTACATCCTGTACATAGTTTATCTTAATAATTTGGATATATCAACAAAGTTGAAATGGTAAATTGGCCACCATAACGATTACAAAAGCTGACATTTCTAGCGTTAGCCCTTCGTCGGAGCGAAACGTCAGCTTTTGTAATCGTCGGAGCGAAACGTCAGCTTTTGTAATCGTCGGAGCGAAACGTCAGCTCTTGTAATCGTTACGGTGGCCAATCTACCATTTCAACTTTGTTGATATATCCAAATTATTTCGTTACCCCCACCGACACAGCCCCAAACAGTTTCTTTCGAAACTATCATCATTTATTCATTAGTTTATCTTATACGGAGAGAAACTTTGTCCAACCGTTGTTTGAACTCTAGATCTGGTTTCAGGATTTCCGGTTCTATTGTGAATATTGTAAACTCTACTTGCATGCAAATAAAAAATTTTCTGATGTGAAAAACAAATAGTATAAAGAAGCTACGAAGGCTGGTTTTGAGTTTAGCCGGATCACTGTTAGTCTATTCTATGCTGGAAATCGGAAAATTTGAAACTGAAAAAGTAATAAATAAATAAAATAAAAGGCAATCTAGAGGAGAGAAACTCGCCTCTCTTCATGTAGTCTCCCTCGCAGCCGTTTTTTCGGATGTCACGCAACGCTCCCCCAAAAAGAACTTTCTGGTGAAGCATTGCGTGACATCCGAAAAAACGGCTGCGTGGGAGACTAAATTTAATTTGACTCGTATTGAATAATAAAGAGCTCAGGAATCGATTTAAACTAAGATAGCTATTTGATAAGCGTCTACCATGAAGGCCCTAGAATTGAACTGTCAATCACCAAAAGCCTCAAAATTTAACCCGTAGCCGACAAAGTTCCCACAAAAAAACGGTTGTCAACTGTCAGAGCCACCTCCACATTGAGACCCTTTCACAAGAGATTTATGCTTTGAGGTAGGAGAACTCTTTTGTAACTACATAGTTGGGTGGTAGACAAAGTATGATATAATTTGCAGAGATTATGGAAAAGTTTTTACTCAACTCAATCAAAAAGCGGTACTGAGCAATTGTTAAGTTTGTCCACACACCAGGATTCATATTTTCCATATTCACATCAATACAAAATTCTCCTTAAAATTGATTCTACCTCACATCGCTTCACAGTCTGTTCCCATCTTTCACACTTTTACTATAAAAATATCATGTTTTCACTCGTTTTCCATACAGCCTTTACTTGGCGTACTAGACGCCAATTCAATATCATTAACGG